TTTGCCCGCCGCAGGCGGGTTTTTTTACTAAGCAGAAGCCTTTTTTGTTCGAGGTCAAGGAGCCCCAAGAAGTATGTCTAGCCTTGCTTCCCCCGGGGCGTATCCCCCAGAAGGAATTGTTATTATAATTGTAATTTATACCGAAGTACGCATATCCCCGCCTCGGTCCGGTTTCGGGGGATGGCCTTGGAAAAGCCCCCAGCTGCCTTCTACTGTTAATCAGAGCCGGGGAGGTACGCGTAGCCTGGCCCAAGTCCGGCGGGCACCGTGGGGGGACAGTTTCCGCGAAAAGCGGCCCCCAAAAAAGGTACATCTATCCCCGCCTCTTTTTGGGGGTACGCCTAGTTCTTGGAAACTTCTGTAGCATGTGCCAAAGGAGAAAATCCCCTGGAGCCTAAGATTCCCACAATTCATAAGTTTTAAGCATTTCATTTTTCGGTAGTGTTGTGACATCTTCATATAGCAAGCGAAAATCATGCATGGACAGGTTGAGGAGGCCTCGTCATCCTTGACTGCGGGCGCTGTGGGCTCCCTGGGGCTGGTTTTCCTGCATACAGGCCTTACTTGCCCTGCTTTGAATCTATTTAAGGATTGCCTTGGATCTGTGCATGGAGGGCTTTTCCTATGCATTCAGCATGTGATCCTGCGCTACTCTTTTTCGAGTGCTGAAGCAGTGGCTGCATCGTCTGCGGTTGATCTGCGCTTGGTCTGCGCTTGATTTGCGCTTCACATGTTCGGTTGATCTGCGCTTGGTCTGCGCTGAGGGCTCCCTGAGGCTGTTTTTCCTGTATTCAAGCCATACTGGCCCTGCTTTAAATCTACTTAAGGATTGCCTTGGATGCTTTTACTATGCATTCAGCAAGCGATCCTGTGCTACTCTTTTTCGAGTGCTGAAGCAGTGGCCGCATGGTCTGCGGTTGATCTGCGGTTCATTGGGTCTGCATTTGATCTGCACCTGATGTGCGCATGATCTGCACCGCAGGATTCCGTGGCTGAAAATCCGCCTATTTGCATGAAGCGTGCACTGGCTTAGCTTGCTTTGAGCATTGTGTGCGGTTGATCTGTGCTTGGTCTGCGCCTCCTGTGCGGTTGATCTGCGCTTGGTTTGCGCTTGGTCTGAGTCTGCCCTTGGTCTGCGCTGAGGGCTCCCTGGTGCTGTTTCCTATACAAGCCTTACTTGCCTTGCTTTAAATCTACTTATAAGGATTGCCTTGGATCTGTGCCTGGTGGGCTTTTGCTAAGCATTCAGCAAGCGATCCTGTGCTGCTGCTTTTCGAGTGCTGAAGCAGCGGCTGCATGGTGTGCGGTTGATCTGCGCTTGGTCTGTGCTTTGGCTGCGGTTGATCTGCGCTTGGTCGGCGCTTGGTCTGCGCTGAGCGCTCCCTGGGGCTGCTTTTTTTGTAGATACAGGCCACGCTTGCCCTGGTTTGAAACTATACTTAAGAATTGCTTTGGATCTGTGGCTGGTGGGCTTTTCCTATGCATTCAGCGATCCTCTGCTATTGTTGTTCGACTGCTGATGCAGTGGCTGCATATAGTCTGCGGTTGATCTGCGCTTGGTCTGCGCCTCATGTGCGGTTGATGTGCGCTTGATCTGCACTTGGTCTGCGCTGGGTCTGCGCTGCGGGCTCCCTGGGTCTGCTTTTCCTCTATAAAGGGCCTTACCTGCCCTGCCTAGAATCTACACAAAGACTGCCTTGGATCTCTGCTTGGTAGGCCTTTCCTAAGCATTCTACAAGCGTTCCTGTACTATTCTTTTTCGAGTGCTCAAACAATGGCTTTGGTGTGCTCTCTTACACAAAAGACATCACATCCACACACCCACTCTTAGAACTTAGAACTCGTTCCAAGACACGTGCTGGACCATGACATGTCGCATGCTGAGGCATCATGCAATGCATGGATGTATAACTGAGGTCCGGTCCCCAAATCATACACAAACTCGGCTCAGGTGCTTCAAACTTTATGAATTTGGCAACCTGTTAAACGAACTCGACAAAAAGTTCATACACGCACAGACACGCACATACATGTTCAACATACTTTTGATTTGCACAGTCCCTTTTGCACCACTATCTTGCAACAGATGCTGCAAATACAGTGCTGCACAGCCCTCGGAACAGACCCTGTCCCGATCTGGACCCCCACCTTGCGGCAAGGTACGCCTATCCCTGCGGTATGCCCTTCCCCGCCTAAGTTCTCCCCCAAATGGGGTCTGTGAGTTCCATGGCATGGCATGCATTCTGTGGGGTGCTGTTGATGCGAAGTTCGGCATCGTTGTTTGTGCCACAGGTAGCGGTTCAGGCTATGCAGGTCATCCAGAAAGATGCCGGAAGAGGCCCGCTGAGACAATGTAATTATAAAACCTTTGGGCACGGAGGCGGATGGAGGGCATTGACAGGGTAAGCACGATCGCGTCTTGCTTTCGGATTTCGGGCTTCCAGTATTCGGGGTGCTGCCCAGCTCCGCGTTCGGCTCTTGACTGACGGAGAGAGATTTTGCACACTAAAGCATCATGAAGGTTGGAGGGTGCCTCGTTTCCAATCCCTTCATGCATTCGCCTGCAGGCGAGAAGGAGCGCAACTCTGAAGCCTCGGAGGAAGGAATCGTGTCGATCGGAACCAGTGACATCGTGCATTGCCAGAACGGGATCCTGATGGCGTCCAAAAGGATCTCGCAAGACCGATTCGAAATCGTGGCCGCAAAGACGTTTCCCAAGCTGCCGGCAGGCGTGAGTCCGTTGAGCCCTGTCTTGAGGCTCCTGCCACACGAAAGGCGCTTCCAAGAGCCTGTGATGCTGCTGTTGCCCGTTACGGGCGAAATCGCGGTCGAGGCTGCCGAATTGTGGCGCTCGAAGCCCTCTGGGGAGTGGGAGGTGGCCAAAGATGTAGCGACCAAGGTGTTCAAAGAAGTATCTCTTCTCCGATTCTGGCTCGAACATTTCTGTTATGCGTTTGCCGGTGAGAAAGATGAGACGAATGTGTCGCCTCCGCCCCCTCCGTGGCCACCAGCAGAAGATGTCGAGTGTGGCAAGTGGCCCCTTGTCGAAAGCGCATTTCGGTTTTCTTGCTGTCTGAGATGCTCCTTGTTGCATTGAAAAACAATCCGTATTCAGTGGAAGTATATATGCCTTCCAAGACTGAGTCTTAAGCCGAACCGTCTCGCAGCTTTTGTTTTCTCCACGTGGCTCAGGTTTCTGGATGTGCCTCCAGAAGGCCTCTATGTCGAGGCTGCGGACCCTGCCGGAGCTCCTTCGGGTGTTCGGGGCTTGCTCATCCTGCTGTAATGGAACGACTTGAAGATAAATTCGGGGTGGTTTTTGGCAGGTTTACACCCCGGAGAACACCCTCATCGCGGGAGGTGGAGGGCAGCGTTTTTTTTTGGCATGGCAGGGAGGGGGGCGAGGAAAGTATATCTTCGTGTTTAGCATGTGCAGCTCTGTCGAGTACCGGTATGCATGATGATGATACACCGCATTCAAGGTGGCCTGGAGCATGCCTTAGCCACATGCTCCGCGTGCTGTCTCTAAAGCCCGTGGGCTGGGCTTCAATTGCGAAGGTCCGGTCGGCCAAGAAGATTTTCCTCTCATTTCATATGCACAACTTCAGCAGGTGGCCTCTGGGCCAGCAGTAGTCTCATGTGCAGGAGGGTTCTTCGGAGCTTGGGACGGGATGCTCGGTTTGTTTTTGGGACAGGTTGCAGAGAAGCTTCCGAGGAACAAGAGCTTGAGTTTCTGGAAAACGAATTCACAATTGACAAAGCCGAGGCTGCTGCAATCGCAGGTGTGGAGGAAGACACCCCGCTGCGTTTCAAGGCACCGCGCAGGGACACAGGAAGTAAGAGGTTGGCAGCATGAAAAAATGGCCCGCGACTCCGCACAAAGTGGCAATTCGGCAGTTGAGCACGTCTTTCCGTGTCCCTTGATGGCACGCTGCCTGATGCCCGGCCAGGTGCTTCCCTATTTGCCTCCTCCTCCACTTCCGACTGAACCCGAAGACGACCAGCCCCCGCCTGCGCCACTTCTGGCACCTCTGCCACTTTGCACTTGCCAGGATGAGAGGACCGACCTCATGGTCTCCGGTCGTTTCAACGACGCCGAAATGGTGGCCTACATCAAAAGCGTTCGGGACATCTTGATTGCGAAGGGAGTCCCCATCTTCATGGTTGACACCCAGGGACCCGGGGATGCCTTTGGCGTCCAGACTGTGGAAGGCCTCTACAAGGCCAAGGCGTTGCTCGCCTTCTGTGGCACGAACTACGGACAGCGCACAGGAGATTTTGCACGTGACATCTTCGCCGTTTCCTTTCTCAAGACTTTTGAGAGTTGCGTGTCCCCCCCAAAACCGGAGCATGGCATGATGAAGTTCTTAGGGCCCCAAGCTTCATGCAAGCAGGAGCTGGCTATGAAACATACGTGGAACTTCGCTACGCACATGACAACAAACTCGAGATCATCCCTATCCAGCTCTGCGACACTTTCCCTCCTCAACCACCAGATTTGGCAGGTCGAGCTCAGAACCATGTAGTTCTTCGACCGGATTTGATGCGCGTCATGGACACGGGTATGAACAACCCATTGCACGTCGCCGACGAGATCCACGCAGCCTGGACCCGTCGGCTTCAACACCTCCGAGTACATGTAAAGCCTTATTGTTGATTCTGCGCAGTGGCTTGGGCCGCAAGTCAGCTCACTGCTCAAAGCAGCAGAGACGTCATACATGGGAAGCCGTCCAGGCCAAAACCCGAGCACAGCCGAATGGCAGCTCCAAAAGGAGCCAGGCCGCAACTTTTGACGGGTTTGGGGTCGATGCGGGTGTAGAGGTCTCGGGTTCTGGCTTGCACGCAATTTTGGGTTGTCTGAGCTTCTTTGCCAGGACTCGCTTTAAACAACGTTAGAGTTGTGGACCGTTAATTGTCTGTCAGCGTCATGGTGTTGCTTGAGATGCGATGCTCTGGGCGAAGGTGAAGGCCGGGAAGGATAGCGAAATCACCCTTTGGGTGTTGCGACTCCTCTGACGGACATGGCAAGAGTCACATGAAGGACTTTAGATTCTGCGAGGTTTTCTTTTGACATTCTTGAGCTGTTCTTGAGTAACATTTGGCTACTTGTGACGAGCATTGGACAGTCCCTTGTTGCCAGCGAGGCGGTCCTGGGTTGCTTTTGCTCAAGTCAGCGCGCATCGTCCGCAGCATGGTCTGAAGCCGCATGGCTGTATGCCAATCCTGCTTCCGGGGCATAGCGGAAACACTTGTCATCGCCATGTCCTATGGCTCCTATGGTTGGGATGTCGCAGATATCTTCTGTTCAGCTTTGTTGACCCATCTGCGCCCTTTCGACTGCTCGAGTGGGGATTGCAATCGGTCTTGGCAGGGCATGCGACGATTCGCAAGGCTGTGCTCTCCAGACGGACTCAGACAGACGGTTCATCCCAGTGCACATACTCACGTGCAAGTTTTGGGAAAGCATGGGATTCCCAACTCGGCCTCCTGCAGATTCTGCGCACAAGAAGGTCACGTCCACGAAGAGGGCCTGGTGGATGAGCCATTCATCCGGAGATGCTGCAGCAACAGAAGACTGGCTAAGATGTGAAGGGGTTTTGTTCGGGCTTGGGTGTGCTTCTTCGTGCTTTGAGCTCCGAAGCCTGTGACAGCGATGGTCTCTGCAATGATGACTCCATGTTCATGTCACAAGGCCCTACTTGCACGTTGCAGCTCTGTTGCTTCTGGCTCAATCCAGCTTTAGTGATTAGCATGACGCGGACTGTGGCTGGCAAGGTAGTGAGAGACTACACTCCAGCATTCCACCACCTTTGAGCCGCAAAATCTCGGGTGGTCGATAGTACGCCCACATTGCAACAGCCTCAGAAACAAGCCTTAACGCCCTTAGCCCCAAACTCTCAGGCTTAAGTTCTTAAGCGCATTTGCGTGGTGATTCCGAATTTAGGCATTCGCCATGAATGCGCCTGCCATGGCGATCTGCGGCTTTGTGCTTTGCTTGGCGGTCGCACGGGGGCAGGTCACATGGGGCCCGCAACCGATGTACATGTCGGAAGCCTGGCATCGCACAGCTGTCGTCCGGCTTTCTCCCCTTGGGCTCAGTGTAGCCACGGCTTAGGGTGCAACGTTTAGACTAATTAGGGTTTTTAGGGATTAGGGTAGGGGCCAAATTTTTAGGGATGTCCTAACAAGGCTTATAACTACTGATTTAGGATCGAGGGGCAGCTTCCTGGGATGTGAGAGGCTGGAAAGTTTAGGGGAGCCTGGAGTCCGGGAGAGAAGATGGAGTCATCCGGTTTAGGGCTTAAAGGGTTTAGGGGTGCAGCCTAGGGTTTAGAGGCCGAGGTTTTGAGAAAGTCAGAGAACCTTTGAGTAGTCAGGTTCTTATGATACTGATCCCAGATCCCCGAATTTCGAGAACACAGATCTGTCGGAACCGTAAGCCCTAAACATCAGCAAGCGTGGACCTCAAAGAGGTGCCTCCGTTTTGGGGTAGCGGGTTTGTGCTGACAATGATGATCCTACCAATTCGAGTTTACATTCGCTTCCCCACCTTGAAACTTACACATGCCAACGGCCAGGACTTGAGCTCCATGAAAGATTGCAAGCAACATTGAAGACGACACCGCCAGTAATCATGTTTGCAATTCGCAGTGACCACGACACTCATGGCAATAGTCATCCTTGCCCACAGGAGCAGAGTAGAATCTGAGTACATATCATTCAGCAGTGATAACAACGCTTGTGCGAAGAAGTAAAGCTTTCTTCATGGACAGAGGCTGAAATCCCCCCCAACACTCTGAAGAATTCCTCAGCACGAAGAGCACTCCACTCTGCAATTCACCCTCACACCGAGGTCCTGGTGAAGCTCAGGGCAGCAAACCCTGAGCCCAAATCCCCAAACCCGAAACAGCCAAAAGCTTGAAGGCTTGAACCCCTCAAGCCCTTAAGGTTTAGGATTTTGAGGCTTTCCTAAGCACGAACCCTAGCAGAGCCTACAACTCTCGAGCTCTTGAGCACATGAGGACACAGACGATTTCAGCAACCAGCAGAGGCTCTACGAGCTGCTGAGGCAGGCTTACTTCACCGCAGCTTGGACCAAAAAAAGCCCTAAAAGCCAGCCCCCTCGACCCCTAAGGCTAAGACCCTGACCCTACACGGCAAACCCTAACTCCTCATCTCTAAATCTCCAGACTCCAGCGCGAAATCCTAAAACCCCAACAACTGGACCTCAAACTTGACTAAATGCCACTGAAAGCCAACAGGATTATACAGCCCAGCATCAGCAGCACCGCCTGGCTCCTGCGATGACTGCGGAGCTGGCAGAGTTCCAGCAGAAGGCTCGAATGTTCAAAGGCAGTCTGACAACTCCGAGGAGAGGTCTAAATATCAGTAAAGCTCAGATTAAGTATAACTCGAGGCAAAAAGGATACTCTACTAGGTACTATTTATTCAGACCTCTATGTCAGGCCCTGAAGCAATGGACCCTAAACCCTAAACCCCCAAACCCTATTCATGGACCCGTCGCAGGCCATGGCTTCCCCAGCTTTGGCACTAGCCGTGGCCATGGGGAATCTTGGCCTGGGCAAAGAAGGGAGTTTGGGTTTAGGGCCTTAGGGTTTAGGTTTGAGGGGTGAGGGGTTTGGGGTTTAGGTTTCAAGCGAGGTTTTAGGGGTTAGGGGTTTAGGTTTT